AAACAGCTGTACAAGACCTTTGCCTAAATAACAGTCTAACATTTAGGGCTGCAATTTAAGATTATTTTCATTTTTGATTAAAGCTGCAGTAGGTAACGTTTATAACAGCATATTTTCTGAAATTTATACCCTGACAATCATGACACAGATAATCTGTGATAAAATCAGGTTCCTCTGGCTCCTCCCAGTGCTCCTGATGGCATTTGCAAGAATCCACTGGGCCTGAACGAAAACAACCAATCAGAGCAGGGAAAGATAGTTGATTGTTGAGATTCATTCCCAGGTAATCAAATATTGATGCAAAAATCAAATCAACTGAGACTCAACAATCAACTATCTTAAAAAGTGTCTTTCCATCTCTCTTGGCTCTGATTGGTTGTTTTTGTAAAGAACTGGTGGATTCTTGGTAATACCATTAGCACTAGGAGGAGCCAGAGGAACACGCTTTTTTGCTTTTTTTTTTTACTGCCAGAATATAGTGAAAGTTTATATTAAATATTTTTTTTTTTTTATAAAAGTTACCTACTGGCGCTTTAATCATTAAATGTTCATCATCAAAAGATTCATCATCCCAGCCCTACATATTTGGGGTTGGAGAGTCCACCCAACACTAAAAAAAAAAAAAAGATATTAATTGTATCAGAGGAGACATAGATAGAAGCCAGTTGTTCACAAATTAGATGTCGCAACCAATGAATTGTGGCCTTTCTAGTATAAAAAAATGATACTGATTACTGATGACTAACCCTAACCCCTGATTACTGAATTATATTCTGTAGACCAGCTAATGAATTAAAGGTCCAGTTTGTAACATTTAGGAGTATCTATTGTCATAAGTGGAATATAATATCCATAGGTATGTTTACATTAATGTATAATCACCTGAAAAAAAGAATTGTTGTGTTTTTGTTACCTTAGAATAAGATATTTTTATCTACAGAGGTAGTGGGTCCCCTTCTATGGAGGTTGCCATGTTGAACCATCGTGTTTCTACAGTGGCCCAGAATGAACAAACCCAAAACTGGCAGTAGATATTTGTGAGTGTAGCAGAGTACCATGGGCAGAACTTTGGCATATTCTGTTATTAGATTAAAAAAGGTTGAAACATGATGATATTACCCAAATCAAGGCATTGGGAAAGATAATGGTGTAACAATTTGACATAATGCTAAAAAATTGGGGCATCCTGGTAGCTCACCTGGTAGACTGGCACACCACACACTAGGGGTGAGCCATGGGCTCAAGTCCAACAACATCCACTCCCCCCAAAGTAGATGTTTTTCTTTCAGTTGATGATGCTTTAATGAACAAAAAACATTGAAGCTGGAGAGTTCTTCTTCATCTAACCCAGTGGTTCTAGAACTGGACCCCATGGGGCTGCATTTAGCGTCTGCAGGGGGTGGGTTGTGGATGACTAGGGGGAAGAATTTTGAGCGGTTATTCTGTGTACATAATTAATGTGGTGACATAAAAAAGTGCAAAAGTGCTCTGATGCTGCAAGGCTATCTTGCTAACCTGAATCTTTTGTTTATTTAAATGGGACCTTATTATTATGCATTTCCTTAGTTTCCAGGTCCCGGCAGTCCAAGCTCCCATACTAGAGATGTAACATTAAACACCCCAGTCTTCTGAGCTCCAGTCAGTCAGTTAATAGGATGGTTATGTTAGCTGCACAGCTTACCAGCTAAAAGCAGCTACAGTTAGCAGCTAAAGTATCTATCAACAAGTAAAGCTATCTGTCCACCAGAAAACTCATTTTAAATAAATAAATAAGTAAATCATTGAAAGTTCAAGCAGAGCAGCCAGAGGACATCAGAGGGAATATTTTCTCCATAAAATATCATCAAGAAATCATTGAAGAAAATTTTTTTTTGTGTTTTTGTACATTAATCAGTGAGGCCCGGCCCCCAGAAACACTCCACTCCAAAGCCATGCAGTTGATAGCTAGCTAACTGATAAATCTCTGTGTCACTAAAAGTTGAAGATTATTATTGGATATCATGATATCTGTTGAGTCCATCAATTTCCCAACCTAATTCTTCTCTCATTTGTCTGAAGAATTGTAAATTAATTAAACTCACTGCCCCTTGCTATTGTCCAAGCTGAATTACACAAGCCATCAAGTGGACTAAGAATATAGAGCTGGAAATTACCATAATAGGTCCACTCTAAATAAAATTCAAATTTTAAAAGGAAGCTTTCCCAGTATTGTTAATTATTGATAAAACTTCGGTCTTAGGTCGGGTGGAGGGCAATAATTTCTTGTTGACAGAAAATGTTTGAAAACCACAGATCTAACCCAGAAGAACCAAAAGCATGTTTGAAGAGCTTTGATGAAGTGTGAGGAGGCCCAGCCCCATCTGTACATATTTAAGAAATTACTTAGCTTAGTAAGGTGTCTGACAGCACAGTGAAAACATTTTACATTCATTGTAACATGCTCAGGACCTTACAATAATTGCACTCAGTGTTTAAAGCAGTTTTTCCATTGCACTCCACTTTGTTTATGACCATGTGGGAACTCAAGAAGAACAGCGCATATGTTTCACTAAGTTTGTTGTACCGCATTGAATTTACAAGCTCCCCACAGACATGGGAGGCTTGGAAGAGTTTGAGGAGTTTCACTCTAATTATTTTCAGTGGTGATTAACATTGAAAAGGGACCGTACGTGGTAAACAACCGCTGACTAATGGGTGACAAAGGTGAGGCTAAATATGCCTGGATTCCAGGCATCCATGTGTGATGTATAATGTCTCAGACAGGATGACCGATAAAAGGCATTTTGTGTTATGGCAATCAGTGGATTAAATTCTATAAACTGAACTATAAAACAGTTTCCACATCGGAAGCACTGACAGAACTGTACATCTGTGTTTTTAACAATACTTACATACTTTTGATAGCCACTTTTCTGAAAGATAATCAGATACGGAGAATCAGTTTTATTTACCAGTTAGTTGTCATAATGTTATGGCACTATGGGCTAGTGTCAGTGTCTACTTTCCAGGCAGTGAACATGGCTGGGCGGACTGGGACTGAACACAATTTCCAAGATGATGGCAGTTTGACAGGGTATACAGTACTGAGGTGGTTTTCTTGCTGGGTTTGGCTCCTGGCATCCTGGGGCTCAGTTAGGTTAGGTTAGTCAGTTAGGTTAGCTGCACGGCTTACTGAGATAACAGTAGTTAACGATTTGCTACTTATTTCCAATGAATTATTTACATGTCACATTTTTGTGATCCTTAAAAAAAAAAGTTGATTAATGTATTGTGCACTCCTAGATACAGACTCATACATTTATATTTTAATTAATGGTTGCAACATATACACTAGACACAACGTTCTAACTTAATACATTTTTTCAATTTCCTCACTTGTCTCTCTCTCTCTCTCTCTCTCTCTCTCTCTCTCTCTCTCTGTGTGTGTGTGTGTGTGTGTGTGTGTGTGTGTGTGTTCTCTGACAGGGTGTACCAGCAGCAGAAGCTCTGCACTGACCTGTGCCATGAAGACCCAGAAGACCAGAGTTGTTACAACAACTTCACCTTCCTGCCGAGGGACGTCTCGCTTCAGGTTACGAGGCAGAAAGAAGAAGGACAGTGTAATCCAAGGCAAGCTTCGCATCCGCTCCATGCCTGGAGCCTTCCTGGTCCTGGGGGTCATTGTGGTGGTTGTTGGCACTGCTCTGGCTGTGGCGGGATACTGGCCATACCGGATATCGAAATCCTTCCATCCTGGGAGCTGCAGAGGGGGAAAGTATCTCAGAGTCGCAGACTTCTGGCTGGAGTCTGGGAGCTAAGGGCCTCCTATCCGCAGCCAGCCTTATCCACAGTGAGCGGATGAAACTGCTGGGACCTGTCATTATGGGGGTGGGACTCTTCATTCTCATATGTGCCAACACAGTCCTGTACGAGAACAGGGACAGAGAGACTCAGATACTGCTGGCTCAGATGCGCAGTGTGATCTGCTCGGTCTCTGCGGCTGTGCCCTCAGCGGACCTTAAAGAAATAGCAGCAGCCAACTCGATGGCCAAACACTACCAGTGGGTAAGCAGTTTACCAGCTGCCCATCTCAACATCCTCTGTCTGCAGCAGATTACCAGCTCTGAGCCCTTGCTTCAGACCAGACACCCCAGAGACCAGGATGACAGTGCTGTTCTCCAGACAGAAGCCCTCCACCACCAGGAGTCAGAGCCTCCACCTTCCCTCCACTGCTCCCACTCCAACTCATGTAATTCCAGTCCAACAGAATGTTGTGCACAGTCTGCCGCCCACATGGTCAGCACCATCTTAAATCTGCAGTTCACCCCAGTCGTCAAGCTCAACAACTGTCTGGTGTCTGCCAGCTCCATGTCCACATTGGGGGTGGACGAGGTGGATATCCCAGCTGACCAGCCAAGACGCTGCCACAGTATGAGCTACAGGACTAACCCATACATACAAACTGGTGTGCATCTTGAGGAAGGATTTCACACAGCTGGAGAGGAGGGTCAAATAAAGCAGCTGGTAGTGATGAGGAGAGATGCTGGTTCACAGGTTTGCGTGAACATCCCCGGGCAGGTTGTGGATGCTGCAGAGGAGCAAACTCACAGAAGCTGGCCTCGGCTAGACTTGGGCAGCGGGAGACGATACCTGAAACTAGAGAACAAAGAGGACTCAGTGGACAAACTGCTGGACCAGTTAGAGCAGCAGTGTTCTCAGTGGGATAATAGTTTTGGCTCTGGGCCTTTCCAGTGATTGGCTGTCCTTCACAGTCCTGAGGGTACTTTAGGATACAAACACCCTGACAACCAAGGAGTAATGATATTTTTGCCTGGATTCTAACACTGCACGATAGTTTTGGTTTTAAATTCTGTGCGGGGCATAGAGGAACTGAGCCCTGGATCATTTGGAATGCAGTATTTCTCACAAGAATCTTCCAAAACTTGTTCTCAATCTTAAGTGGAATAATGATACACAGAGGTTATGGTCTTTGCTTGGCTGAATTTGGCAGATGTTTTCTATAATTGAAGAAGAGGAACAATATACAGACCCTACACTGTCACAGTTGAGCGAAGCTATTTGACAGACTGTTTACTTCTGCAGTTTGGTTTTGCAGCAATGCGAGAAATCAACTTGCATCTCAATGCCAAAATGGGTTTGCCTGTTTCCAGGACACAGTGTGCACAACCTAGAGAAGAAGAGATAGAATGGTGCGGGAATACAGAGATTTGTTTTCACTGTGCAATCAATTTTGAACCAAACTACCTGGACCCCTGAGCCCATAAGGTGCTGACAGCTCTTGACAAATGCAACGAGTATATAAAAATGGGTCTTTTTTTTTTTTCTCAGCTGAGGAGGTCCCATACTCTAAATGCAATGCATGACAGTGATGTACAGTATGTTACATCTTAATACTTATGCAGAGTAATGTCATTGTTATGTGTATAAGAAGTAATGATAGTTGAAAGGTAATTCTTGTTTATTATTACTTGGGTCTTATTTTCTTAGGGTGGCCATTATTTCTACACAATAAACAGTGTTTTTCACCAAGTTCATTGCTGAGATCTGGGAACACAATGACATTACTACAACTGTCTGTCTCTGAACTGTGATGCATGTTTGTCATGGAAAGTTTAAGTAATAATATTAATACAGTTTGCCTTCATTTTCTTCTGCTGTTGGTAAGGGTCCTTACCAACAGTAATACAGGCACATAACAGCACATACCCCAGTAACCTTCACACACCATATAAGCAGTATAAACATTTCAAGCTGCAGTAAGTAACTTTTATTAAACTAAACTTAATTAAAAAAATAACTTTTTGTCATATTTGCTGAAACTTTCACTATATCCTGACAGTAGTACATGAGACAGATAATCTGTGAAAAATCAGGTTCCTCTGGCTCTTCCTAGTGCTCCTATTGGTATTTACAAGAATCCACCGGGCCTGAACGAAAACAACCAATCAGAGCCAAGAGAGATAGTAGTTTACTGAGTCTCATTCCCAGGGCATCAAAAACAGACGCTTTGGGACTGGGCATGATAATTAACTCATGACTCATTGGAGCACATTGCAAAAAGGGGCGGGGCTTAAGAAGGGTCAATCGTAATCGGTGCACAATTTTTGATTGGGGTGATTGCATCTAGAGCTTTCATGCCAGTGCACCGATGCAACTCAGTGAATCCTACCATCCCTAGTGTACACATACAGATTTGTGTTTCAAATTCTTGAAACCTTTGCAAAGTTTGTCGCACATATGGGTTGAGATACAGTTTCACAATATCTGGCCCCATACATTCACCTTTACTTTCCTCACACCTCATCAGCCAGCTGCTCTCCCAATTGTTGGAATGTTCTGAACAAGAACAAAAAAACAGAGTTTAGGTTGGCCTGAGCAAGCAGGCTGCTAGCAAGCTTGGATTTGCTATCCAAAAGTGAACTAAGAATTCATTGCTACTAGCATTAGAGGCTTTTAGTGCTGTTGGTGTGCAGTCCGGAACGTGGGTGAGCCGCTGTGCTGTTGTTGTTGTCGCTCCTGCTGCAGTTCTCCTTGCACCCTGTAGACAACCTGCTCTCAAGGATATGGATCTTGCCTTGCTCTTCTTTCATGAAGAGATCCACCAAGAGAATCTTCTCCTTGTGGATCTGGAGGCTGATGTCTTTAGGGATGTCTGGAATCAGCCAGTCCACAATGTCGCTCATCAGCATCACAACATTCTGGTAAAGATAAATGGAATGGAATCATGTAATCTTTGTTAGTTTAGTAGTTAGCAATTCATTATAAAATGAATCATGAATAAGCCATAAGCTGTTGATGTTACAGGAAATGTGATGTAGAGTCCAGATTTCTCCATACATACAGTATAAAAAGAAATACATGTGATGTCATGTGTAAAATGTAAAGTTCCAAGGAAACATCAAATAACTGATCAAAAATCACTGTTGTTAGTCCTGACTTGTCTCACAAAATTAAGATGCCAGAACTGAATGGGCCGTCAGATTTAGATGCAAAAGAAATCATAAGGATGTGGAAAAAAACAAAGCCACGAACAAACATGGCACACAAGTGTCACAACCCTCCTCAAAAATCTGAATTTGATCCATTTAGTCCAGTAACATATCAGGAAGAGCCACACAATTAATTAATTTTATCGCTTTCAAGTTAACGGAGGCCTAAAACCGGATGTTAGCGGCTCGGCCAGTGGAAGTCTCTGAGTGTGTGGAAGACTTGACGAATGCTGCATTGTCCTTGATCACTAGTAAAAACACCTGTAAACAAATTAATGATTGGATCAGATCAACATAGCTGATACCAGTCAGTTAAAAAATGCCTTGATCTAAGGCAGTCACGTGAGAGATTTTTCTCTGCAGTGATTAAAGGAGGCTCAACAGTTCGTGTGTGATATTATCGCCATTTTTGTTTTCGCTAATTGTAAGTGGTACAACGGGATAATGTATAATCTCAGTACATGCTTTTACTAATCACCTGCACCCACCCTCCTCCTGCCCGATGGGTCTGTGACTCCTTTAACATTCGACTTTCAGCTGAAAAGTCTCCAGTTACACTGTAAAACCAGATAAGTTCATTTAACCTAAAAAAATGTTGAATTGCTGTCTCTTCAGCCTTGCCTCTCTGGGATGTCACATGCTTTTGTGGCGGTGGCTTGCCATTCTGTGTGGTTGGCTTCTCAATTGCACAATATTTATTGTGGTTAGGGTGAAAGCCCTACCTTGATCGGCCTGATACCAACTGAGATCATATCATTAATAATTATATGGGAACACATGCACTTATTTCTACAAAATATGTTGAAGCTGTAATATGCCCCATTCAAATTTCAGGTTTGCACCTTTGGTGGTTAAGGCCTCACCACTTTTACAAATGTAATAATAATTAAAGCTGCAAGCAGCGTTGGGCGGGCCCTCGCACTCCACGCAACTCGGGGCGTGCTGCGGCCGCGTCACGTGCCGTCGTAACACGTGCGGACC